GTGCTGGAGACCTGGAGGTAGGGGTATTGGGGTGATGAGGGTGCTGGGGAGTGGAGGTGAAGGTATGGGGGTGATCAGGGTGCTGAAGACCTGGAGGTAGGGGTATGGGGGTACCCAGAGTGCTGGGTTCATGGGGACCTGGAGGTAAGGTACAGGGGATCCCAGGGTGATGGAGGATTTGAGGTAGGGGTATTGGGATGACCAGGGTGCTGGGGACCTGGAGATCGGCAATATGGAGGTGACAGGGGTGCTGGAGACCTGCAGGTAGGGGTATTAGGGTAACCAGGGTGCTGGGGACCTGGAGATCGGCAATATGGAGGTGACAGGGGTGCTGGAGACCTGCAGGTAGGGGTATTAGGGTAACCAGGGTGCTGGGGAGTGGAGGGTATTGGGGTGACCAGTGTGCTGGCAACCTGGAGGTAGGGGTATGGGGGTGACCAGGGTGCTGGCAACCTGGAGGGAGGAGTGTTGGGGTGCCCAGAGTGCTGCAGTGCTGGACACCTGGAGGTGGGGGTATCAGGATGCCCTGGGGTGCTGGGGAGTTGAGGTGGGGGTATGGGGGTGTCCAGGGTGCTGGGGACTGAAGGTGAGGGTATTGGGGTGCTCAGGGTGCTGGGGACCTGGATGTAGGGGTATTGGGGTACCCTAGGGTGCTGAGGAGTGGAGGTGGGAGTTTTGGGATGTCCAGGGTGCTGGGGACTGGGAGGTGGGGGTACAGATGGGTGCCCAGGTCCTGAGGTGCTGGAGACTGGGAGGTGGGGTGTCGGAGGCATCCAGGCTGCCCAGGGTTTTGGGGACTCTGATGTCCTGGGGATCCTGTTGTCCACAGTGCTGGGGGACCTGCTATTCGGGGGTGCCCCATCCCTCACCCCACACTGCTCAGCGGCTCCCCCATCTCACAGTGCCCGATGCCCATCCCTGCCTGACGCTGCCACCATGGCCGGGGCGCAGGGCTGTGGCGAGGGGAAGATCGCGGGGCTATACGACCTGGAGCGCACGCTGGGCAAGGGCCACTTTGCGGTGGTGAAGCTGGCGCGGCACGTCTTCACTGGGCAGCGGGTGGCCGTCAAGGTGATAGACAAGAGCAAGCTGGCGGGGGAGGCGGCAGGGCAGCTCCTGCAAGAGGTGCGCTGCATGAAGCTCGTCCAGCACCCCAACGTGGTGCGCCTCTACGAGGTCATCGACACCCACGCCAAGCTCTACCTCATCCTCGAGCTGGGCGACGGTGGGGACATGTTCGACCACATCATGCGGCACGAGGGCGGGCTGGCCGAGGCACGGGCCAAGCACTACTTCGCCCAGATCGTCCACGCCATCTCCTACTGCCACAAGCTCCACGTGGTGCACCGTGACCTCAAGCCCGAGAACGTGGTCTTCTTCCAGGAGCAGGGGGTGGTCAAGCTCACCGACTTCGGCTTCAGCAACCGCTTCCAACCTGGCAAGATGCTCAACACCAGCTGCGGCTCGTTGGCTTACTCCGCACCCGAGATCCTGCTCGGGGATGAGTACGATGCCCCAGCTGTCGGTAATGCAGTGGGGTGCAGCCACGGACCTGCCTCCCTCCTGTCCCTTGTCCGAAGCATGGTCCTCCCAGCCGGGTACCACCTTACCCTGGGAACACCCGTGCCCTGGTGGTAGTGCTGTCCCTGCAGGGGGCAATCCTTAGCTGCTCGGCTGCCTAGCCCTGCTGTGGCATGAGCTGGTCCTCCCTGCGGAGGCCATCCCTGCACCCGCTGAGATTCCCCCAGAGCGATGGTTCTTGACAGGGAGGCGAAAAAGCCCAAGCAGGCTGTGAGCCTGGCGTGGCATCCGCTAGTGCTCAGTGAGGGCACAGCAGCCAGCAAGCCGGCTCTAGTGGTTATTTGGGAGGGGTGTTACCGGAAGGAAACCTGTTGGGGATGCTGCTGTTTGGGCGGAGGAGCTCTGAAAGTTTCCTTTGCTCCATCCCTGCCCTGAAAACCGCTTCCTCTCCCTGGCTCCCAGCACCCTTCCTTCCCTGGGTAGAGGGGGGCTAGGGGCACCAAGAGGCTCTGCTGGGACAGAGGTGATGTGGGGAGGAAGCGGGACCTGAGTCAGCTCCACTGGAATTTGGGGCAGGAGGATTTAGCAAAACAAAACATGAGCCCCTAAAATAAAAAGCCCAGTGTCGGCTGAGGGAAAGGCAGCTCTGGAGTTGGGAACAGGGATGGCTTGGGGAGACAGTAGAAAAATAAGCTGGTGGCTCTGCAAAGGGAGAAATCTGGCGCAGATGAGAACATTTCAAACACAGGCACTTGACTTAAGAAGCTGAAGGTATTAATGGAGAGCCCTGGGGCGTGCTCAGCATCCTAAAAAAGTGCTTTTGCAGAGAGTCTGTGTACTCGTCAGGAGGATCAGGTGAAGAAGATGCCGCTGGCTCCAACCCTGTGCCCAGGGCAGGGCAGTGATCCTGCTCTGGCTAGTGCCCACACAGCTGTAGGCAGCTGGAGAGCCCAGATCGGTGCCGCATCCCTGTCCCATCACTGTGGTGTCCCCGCCGGCACAGCCCAGTGGCAGGATGGTTGTGGGGCCTGTTTGGGAAGTGGGAAGCTGAGTAATGACATGAAACATTGCTGTGCGTGGGTGACTGCGGGGGGGACAGAGCTCAGGGCTGGCTTCCCTGTCACCACCTGGGAAAGGGGATAAGACCTCAACTGCTTTGGTGAAGCCCCTTGAGATGTGGGGATGGGGAAGGTCCTTCCTCACCTTGGTGGGGCTGTGGTCCCTCCATCCGTGAGGGTGGACCTGGGAGCTGTTACCTCCAAGGAGCATCCCACTGAGCACTGGTTTCAGCTGGATTGGCAGTGGGGGCTGGTGGGGTGGCCCCACCAGGGTCCCTGGGATCAGGGTGCTCTCCTGGGTCATGGTGGGTGCAACCTGAACTGCTGCTGTTTCTTGCAGACATCTGGAGCCTAGGGGTCATCCTCTACATGCTGGTGTGCGGCCACCCCCCCTTCCAGGAGGCCAACGACAGCGAGACCCTCACCATGATCATGGACTGCCGCTACACCGTCCCCCCACACATCTCGGCACAGTGCGCTGAGTAAGCACCTCCCCCCCGCCCTGCCACACTGGAACCCCCTGGACCCTGACTTGCTGCCCCTGGGGGTGGGTGATCTGTTCCCGGGGGATGTCTGGAAGTTGGGATGGGAAAAGGGGGTAAAGCTGCTGAGTCTGGGGTTTGCGTGCTGCTGCAGGATTGCAGCATCACTCCTCTCCCCCGCAGTCTCATCTCCAGGATGCTGCAGCGGGACCCGAAGCAGCGAGCCTCCCTGGAGCAGATCGAGGGCCACACATGGCTGCAGGGGGTGGACCCATCCCCTGCCAGCCGCTGCCTGCTGCCCCTCACCTCCCACAAGCGTGTGTCCGAGGAGGAGCACGAAATCATCCTCCAGGCCATGACGTGCGGGAACATTGCGGATCGGGACACCATCCAGGAGTGAGTGACGGGGTGGGATGCCGAGGCGGGAGCCCCTGCGAAGGGCTCTGGGGGTCCCTCTGAGTGCACTGACGTGGGTCCCTCGGTCCCGTGCAGGGCGCTGGAAGCTGATCGCTACAACCACATCACAGCCACGTATTTCCTGCTGGCGGAGAGGATGCTGCGGGAGAAGCAGGAGAAGCAGGGCCACCGCCTCAGCCTTGTCTACAACCTGGCCAAGGAGGTGCAGAGCAGGTGAGCCCCCCTGCTGGCCACCGTCCTATATCCCCTCCATGCTACCCCAGGTCCCCAGTGCAGGGTCCTGCCCTGTCCCCCGTCCCCTTCCTCACTGCAGCCCTTGTGCTGCCCAGCTGGGTGCCAACACCAAACCTCCATCATTCCCCTTTCTCAGGACCAACTTATCAGACACATTCAGCCCCATGGGCAGCGCTGGCGGCCTCCTACCGTTCACAGACATGCCAGGCTCCCGGCTGCCCCCCCTGCCCACTGGAGGCGACGTGGGTGGCCGGCAGCCCCCCAGGACTCTGCTGAAGGTCCCTGCCGTTGACACCACCATCACCAAGAGCACCCCGGCCCTGCAGCAGATCTGTGAGGAGGAAGAGGAGGAAGATGAGGAGGAGGAGGGGAGGCCCAATACCATGGAGAGGAAGAGCAGCTCTCTGAACCAGGAGCAGATGCGAGCCTTCCTGCGCGCCCGCCGCCCACCCAGCCGTGGGGAGGTGTGGGGGCCAGGGGCTGAGCTGGGGGGCCGGGGAGGGCGCCCGGGGGCGGCCTGGACTGGGAAGGGAGTGAGCGGGGGCCGGGGTCCCCTGGTTATGCGGGGGGTTGGAGCTGAGCCCCATAGGAAGGAGGAGGACACAGAGCCTGGGGGCTCCTCAGGAGAGCGCCCCGGGGAAAGGGGAGCCATCCCATCACCCCAAAGCAGCTCTGCTGGGGTCCACCAGGTGCTAGGGGCAGAGACACCCCTTGATACCCTCCCGAGCCCTGCGGACAAGTCCCCAGGACAGGGAGCACCCACCAGTCCAGCCAGGCAGTCGGTGGAGAGCTCGGGCCCATGGGGCACTGAGGGGGGCGTGGAGAATGTGATCAAGCTGGACCCGGGCAAGAGCAAGGGGGGCAGCCTGCGGGACAGGCTCCTGCAGTTCCCACTCTGCGAGAAAGCCCTGGCCTTCAAAATCCGGCCGGGCTCCAAGGAGAGCCTCCTCTCCCTGGGGCAGTTCAACTGCTGCCATGTCATTTAAGCCCCTGGAGTGAGGGTCCAGCCTGGCTGTGGGGTCTGGGAGGGTGCCCGCTCCCCTGCCTTTGGTCTGCCTGTGACTCACAGAGCAGTGGGGCTGGTGGGGGACACGTTGCCCCTGCTTTTGTCAGCTAGCACCCACCCTGGGCACCCACTGCGACAGACTCCCCCTTCCTGGGATGGGGCTGCCCTCGGGGGTGAGGTGGGCTGGGGTCTGTCCCCGCACCAGCTGGCATGTCCCCAAACCCGCGGGGCTGCCGGAGCAGCTCCATGGCCCCGCTGGGGTTGGATGGACCACGACACATTTTTTTAACTACTAGAAATAATTTTTTAAAATAGTCTATTTTAATGTAATTAAATAGAGATTGCTATATCCCCTCCACCCCCTCCCTGGGACGGCGGCTCCCCCCAGCCCCACAGTGTCCATGGCCCCAGGGCCAGGCTGTCCTGCCTGTGGGGCAATTGCTTGTCTGCCTGCAGCCCGCCCACCGTCCC